GGTAAATTGATTTTAAGAAAAAAATGAATGATAGCTGAGTTGGTATGCAGCTATGATGTAAATCATGAAGGTGATGTCCTGAGAGGAAAATTTGGGAAACATTTAACATATAATAAAGGCTCATTTACACTGTTTACATAAATAGGGCCTAGGTTTTAGGCACCCTTCTAAGTGCTTTCCAAATACTGGCCAATTTAATCTTCAAAGCAATCCTGTGAGGTAGGTGCTATTATTAAAATCCAGTTACAGAAGAATAAAATAAAGAATAAAGTAGCCTATATGTTACTAGCTGTGGTTATGATTGGGGGTATGTGGCAACTAGGAAGCCCTAAAACTCTGAGGAGAGGACAGTTTAAGAGAAGTGGAGGGACAAAGGCAGCTTAGATGAAAGGATATGAGGTCAAGAATTGGATCTGATCCTTTAAGATCTGCAGTCTTTAGGAGACCGCTGTTAAAATGTAGACACAAAAGGATAAGAAACACATGAAGCTACCATTCCAACCACTGGGTGGGATGAGCTTATCAACTCACTTTTCAACTGGGAAAGATATGCATCTATTTGGAGAGTGCTACACACAGTAACCCTCAAATGTGATCCCTGAACCAAGAGTATCATCTATCTGGGAACTTGACAGAAATGTACATTCTCAGGTCCCACCCCTACTGACTCAAGAGCTCTGGGGGTGGGGTCTGGCCATGTGTGTTTCAACAAGCCCCTAAGTTCTATAAGCTGTTTCAAGGGGTCTAAAACTCCTTTCTATACATTGTAAATTTATCAAGGATACGTTAAAAGGAATTTTTAAATACTGATTCAAACAAATAATTATTATGTATTTTTACTGTGCAAAAAGCTATTCTAGGTATTGCAGTAAAAGGGTGGGATTATAGAAAGAGAGGCTAAATGAATCCTGAAGTAAAAACAAATCCAACACTTTCACTTTCTATGTATTTTAAGTGAAATGTGAAGAGATGAACTGTCCTGAGAAGGATGGCTTATTTAATCAATGCTCAGCACCCAGGAAAGCCACTCACATCTTCTGTCTGTGAGTCTACTGCATGGCTCACTCTGTTTAAAATGGGGAGGCCATCAAATAAACGTACAACTTAGCTTGCACTTATTTATGCATGTGCCAGTGCAGATGCATGTAAAGCCAGTGAAGATGCATGTAAAAATACTATTGGATCAGATATAGGTGAAGGGGAGGAAGGCAGCAAATCACACTGCCGTGTGTGTACCTATGCAACAATCTTGCATGTTCTTCACATGTACCCCAAAACCTAAAATGCAATAAAACAATACTATTGGATGAATGAACAAGGGATGAAATTAGGGGTAAGTGATGACTGAGAACTGAGTGTGCAAGTCACCAAAACTTGCACAAAAAGACTCAGTGCTCCATTTTGAAATACTCTTGCAGAAAGGTATCCAGTCTGAGTGGTGTAATCAATGTTAACTCTCTGGGACCTGAGGACTTGAGAGTACAGGATGGAAGCAATAGTAATAATGCCATCATGGGGTGGTTGTGAGGTTACTGTTATTTACAGAATGAGGTTGTTGTTATAACATTTGTAGAACAGGGGCTGGCACAGAGTAAGCACTACGTAAATGTTAGTCATTATTAGATAACCCTGAAGGCTCTTTTCAAGTCATTTCTGTGTTGGATTAGTGTTTTTCTTGTCAGGGAGTAAAGGAGTCTGGGATTCCTAGAACAGGATAATAGAGTTGTTTGATAATTTGGGATAAAGTAAAGGTTCTGACACTAATCTTTTACTGCACATGTGGATGAAGGGTCAGTGGGAAGATACAGAAAAAGGAGATCCAGTCCGTTGAACAAGAACACAGAGATTCACAAGCTACGAGCATTCTTTTTCAACGACAAGAAGCTGATGAAACCACTAACAAACACTTTCCTAGCTTAAAAAAAACACTGCTGATTAAACTTTGCATGATGTTTATGCTTTGCCCAACCACTCACATAAATGTAGCAAACATAAGCCATAAGAAAAATGAATTATAAAAGCATTGTAATATAAACTCATGTTATATACTTACAGTTTTTTTTGTTTTTTTTTTTCTGTTTGTTTTTTGTCTTTTTTTGAGACGGAGTTTCACTCTTGTTACCCAGGCTGGAGTGCAATGGCGCGATCTCGGCTCACCGCAACCTCCGCCTCCTGGGTTCAGGCAATTCTCCTGCCTCAGCCTCCTGAGTCACTGGGATTACAGGCACGTGCCACCATGCCCAGCTAATTTTTTGTAGTTTTTTAGTTTTTAGTAGAGACGGGGTTTCACCGTGTTGACCAGGATGGTCTCGATCTCTTGACCTCGTGATCCACCCGCCTCGGCCTCCCAAAGTGCTGGGATTACAGTATTTATTTATTTTTTTAGAGACAGGGTCTCGCTCTGTCACCCAGGCTGAAGTGTAGTTGAGCGATCACAGGTCACTGTCACCTCAAACTCCTGTACTCAAGAGATTCTCCTGCCTCGGCCTCTCATGTAGCTAGAACCACAGGCATGCAGCGCCACACTGGCTGAGGATCTTTTTCCCCTTCTCTTTTTTTCTGCAGAGTTAGGGTGTCCTAGGTTACCCAGGCTGGTCTCAAACTCCAAAATGATCTTTCTGCCTTTTGGTCTCCCAGAGTACCAGTATTACAGGCATGAGCCACCACACCTTGTCTGAGTCTAATGTCCATTAGTATTAAAATATTTGTATAACAGTATTTGGGGTCAGAGAGTATTCTGGAATTTGTCTCCTGTCATTGGCTTGGTCATGTATGTATACATAGATATATTTGCAATTTATACCCAGATACAAATATAAACATCAAATTTAGATGTGATGGCAATGAGTGAAAAGTATTTTGTGACTTCTGTTTCACTCAAGTTTCAATCCCCGCTTTAAGGCTGAGTGCTTCATAGTCTAGTAAAGCTGAAACATGTAGTCAAGCAATTTCTTTAATAGGAAAGAATATGCATGGGTTAGCATACTTCATATCAGGCCTAGAGGTACCTTAGAATGTGAAGATGGATTAAAGAAAACAGGGGAAATTGAAAGAACAGAGTTCCGGGGCACAGTGAGATGGCAAGAAGAAAGTTGTAACAGACAAACTTTAGAAAAGTTGGGAAGCAGTGGAAGGGAAAATCGATAGGATCGGATTAAGGAAAGAATCCTTGACTCCATAAAAAGCTTCTGGATGGAATTTAAAAAATGTTCAGGCAGTGAGGGATAGAATTAACTTGGCTTACAAACTTTAAAAATGTTAAAATGCGGCCAGGGGTGGTGGCTCACACCTGCAATCCCAGCATTTTGGGAGGCCGAGGCAGGTGGATCACCTGAAGTCAGGAGTTTGATACCAGCCTGAACCAACATGGTGAAAACACCGTGTCTAAAGAAAATATAAATTAGCCAGGCATAGTGGTGCATTCTTGTAATCCCTGCTACTTGGGAGGCTGAGGCAGAAGAATCACTTAAACCTGGGAGGTGGAGGTTGCAGTGAGCTGAAGTCATGCCATTGCACTCCAGTCTGGGAAACAAGAGCAAAAAAAACCTCATCTAAAAAAAAAAATTAAAATGCACACTCTAAAATTATCCTGCCATTGTAAATGTTATGAGTAACCTGTTATTTCCCTTCCTAAATTGTCCTTCTATTTAGTAATCTTTATTTGCAATCTCAAGTAGAGATGTCACAGGGTATTCCATATATTCTCTCTGCTTTTAGAAATAACATGATTGTATTGAAAACATTTCCATTATAAAATAGTTCCCTAAGGGTAAAAGAATAATTCCAAGTTTTTCCAAGTCATTAGAAATAATCAAATTTGGCTTCAAACTGGTCCTGGCGACTTTATAGATCTCTTGTTAATGAGCTGAAATTGGAGGAAAGTAGATTGGGCACCACTGGGAATGATAACAAATTCTCTGACCTGTCCAGGTGTGGCGGCTCATGCCTATAATGCCAACACTTTGAGAGGTTGAGGCGGGCAGATCACTTGAGGTCAGAGTTTGAGACCAGCCTGGTTTCAACATGGTGAAACCCCATCTCTACTAAAAATACAAATATTAGCTGGGTTTGGTGACACACACCTGTAGTCTCAGCCTCTCGAGAGGCTAAAGCAGGAGAATTGCTTGAACCTGGAAGGCAGAGGTTACAGTGAGCCGAGACAGTGCCACTGCACTCTGACTTGGGCTACAGAGAGAGACTCTGTCTAAAAAAAAAATTATCTGATCTTACTGGAGTCTGTGGAAAAGCCTACAGAGAACACTTTTGGAGTCTACCTCCTGAGCTGCAAGGCACGTTCTTGTGAAGAGGGAGAGGCTGATGGTACCATTGCTGGGGACAAGAGCTGCCTGTCAAGGCTGTAATTCTTTGTCCTTCTGTATAGAGGTAATGTACTCACCACTCCCATCTAAAGGTCCTAGGATAGCTGCATTGGGGCCTGGCTCTTACCACTAAGATAATGGACAATACTCAAAACTAAAGAAAAAATATATAGATTTCTAAGGACACTTTGGTTAGTTCTATGAGAAAACGTTAAACACTAATTGAGATATGGTGATGATATAGTTGCCAGTAACAATAGTGGTTTCTAGAAAACATGAGTACCCCTTTCACCCCCAGCAGGGACTATGAGAGCTTGGGTAGGGAGCTAAGAGGCCTAAGCAGTTCTCTTAATTGTGCTATTACAAGTTCATGGGGAATGCTACAGAACAAATTTGTTTCCACTAAGTCCTGTTTACTATAAAGACAAACATATTCTCAAATAGAAATGTTAATGGCTATATTTTTCAATACAACCAACTACCCACACAATCTCATGAGAGTCAACTGACTTAATTTTGTTCAGAGTACAAATAGCTATTATTAAAAATAGATTAAATGGCTTATAGAAAGAAATTAATGTGTTTTAAGTGACTTTCATTATGGCAGGGAAAAATAATTTCTAGATTGGAAGAATTAACAGTAATACAGACTAAGACAACAAATTTATAATCATTACTTACAGTCAGATACATAGCTGCATAGACGCTGAGAGCTGCTTCTTTGGATGGAAAGGTTTTTCTTGCTCTCATGATGAGATCTGGGTTGCCGGTACAGGCCTCTTCCCCACTGATGAACTGTGTATACTGCTGACATCCAAGTGCTGTATAATTGGGCTTACACAGGGCAAGGAAATGTGGGGCCAGATTTCCTGTGACGACTTGTCCAGCATTTACAAAGATATCTGTAGCAAACAGTCCAAATGTATAAATTCCTGGGGAAGAAAACAAATAATTTTAACTTTGTGTGTGTGTGTGTGTGTGTGTGTGTGTGTGTGTGTGTGTGTGAATCTCAGTTTATAATAAACCAAAATGAAAATATTTTAGAAACTATAAAATATTCCATACACATAGTTCCTTTCATTTCATTCCTCTCCATTTCTTTCCCTGGCTTTCTGGGAGTGGTGGAAGTGGTAAATTATTTAACATATTGAGCTGTCTACTGGGTTTTGTGCATGGCAGGTTTATAGGACATAAGAAAAAATAAGAACATTTATTCTCAGACCCTGGGTAATGCAATTGTTTCATAGAGTCCATGTGTTCCTTGAAAGGGTAGAGTCTATCATGTTCTACTAACATTAGCAATTTTATTTTTTCCCTATTTTTGAAAATATTTTTTATCTCACTAACAGAAAGCAAAGCAGTTGTCTCTCTTTGGTTATGCCTCTTACTCTGAGACTGATGTTAATGCTGCTGGAGGTACCAATTAGCAGTAAATCCTGTGCCATAAGTTTTCAATTAAATGTGGAAAATCTTAAGTAAGGCAGAATGCTTTCAGAGTAATCTCTACAATGCCTTCAGAAATAAATTTTTTAAAGTCACAGAACAGCTAGTAATTTAGTTCCACCTTATCTTTTATGGACTGGTTTTCAATTGATCCAATTTGGACTATTTAGTAACAAGACAATCCAAATTATAGGTTATTAATTACCTTTACAGTCTTCAAATTTATTTGCTTTGGTTATCTGAAGATATAAAACTGAGTGCATAGATATTTTTCCTCCTTTTGTAAGGAAGTTGCCAATTTACTTGAATACCAAAAACATTTTCTAAATTTAACGTCATCGGTCATTATTGTTAAAACTTAATTTTCTGTTGTACAGGCAAAATAATTTTTTGGCATTAATTTCAATTAAACATACAGCTACAATTTTCAAGGATGTGGTAATGATGAAAAGAAATTCATCCTTTTATAATTTGGAGAATAAAATCCAATAGGACCTTTTAAAACTATCCCAAAGTAATACTTCTAAAAGTATTGATTTATTAAAATGTCATATACTTATGCTACAATATTAGATGTTTTTCTTTTTGGTCATATATTTCTGGATTGTTTGTGTCCCAAGCCTTTTCATCATTATTGACTGTTGTATAGTATATCACTATAAAATTTATACCGGATCAAATAATTTGCCAGTATTAGATGCATGGCTGTTCTTTTAAAATATTATATATGTTTGCAAAAGGTTGACACACAAAAACCCCCACACGGCAAAACTCTATGTGTGTACAAATGGAAAAGAAACAAAGATATTAGTTCTCTCTTAATCTAAAAATTCTAAAAGAAAACAATAAGAAGCCCTTTCTGAACATCTCACCAGCATTCTATGAGTCATACAAAGTAAAGGTAATCAAAATCAGAAATTTGAGAGAGACAGAGAAATTAAAAAGAACTGAGCTCAATAAAAGCTCTCCTTCCAAAATCTCATGGCCAAGCACGGGAACCTAAATTACAAGTCTTCTTCATTTGTATGCCTTTGAAATGTAGGCTGTTTGGTGTAATGGGTTTTCCTGTTTATAATAGATTGAAATATTTGATAAGAATGTGGCAATGTATCTTGACACTTTAAAGTCCCCAAATTAGTTTTCAAATTAAAACATCAGTCCATCAGGCCCAAGGCTAATACTGTAGTTGACTACAAAGATAATTATTAAACTGGGATCTTACGAGTGTATCTATTCCACTGACCTAAAGAATAAAGTCACTATAAAGAGTGATGTGCTATTACACAGTAATGCTTCGCTTCCATGCTTCCACTTTATTATAGCTAGAAACATCCAAATCATAAGTGAACAAGAAACAAATAAGGCTTTCATATTTTATAAGATCATATTAGAAGAAGCATGTAGAGAGTTAAAAGCATACTGTACTTGGAACCAAATATTCTTTAGAAATATGTGTGCAAATGAAGAAAAATATTTTACTTCAATAGGCACAATGTAATTTGCTTAACAGTATTTAGGAAAGCATCAATTTCTCTAAATACTTTTAATTGTGAGCATATGGTTGTGTATTGCTTATACAAGAAGAAATTAGCCAAGAACACAGTATTGACAGATGTGAAAAAATAACTTTTAAGGTTTCATATAAAAGTTGTCCTTTCAATAGGATAAATGAGGGCTTTGGAGATACATAACTTGATGTCAGTAAAAAGAACAGTCTTGGATATGAAGACCTTTCGTCTTCAGAGAGATCTAAAAGCCTGATGGCATTTGGCTAGTCTTTAATGGGTTTACAGATAGATTAGGTGATATATGCATGCTATCTTCAAAGTCTTCATCTTGATCCCTTCAATATGAGAAATATGTTGAAGAGTTACATTATCTTTAATGTATCTCTTAATACTAATAAAAATTTATCTTAAATGGCATTTAGTATATACAGATATGCTTATTTTATCTGATAAATCCAGGAAACATTTATATTAAATTTTATTGAGTCAGTTAAAAAATGTGTCTAGGCTAAGTTCCTATTGAATTAAAATGATTTTCAATAATTCAGTCATGCATATACTGATTATTGCTAGTATTTGAGATTGAAAGTTAAATTATTAGTGAATCTTGTCCTCTAATAAAATCCTCAATATGTTTTTAGTTATATAAAAATCAACTTAGAAATAGTGCATGGAGTGTTACATTTGTTCTACTTACCAAGCTATTTTTCTTGTCCTTCATGATGTTCAACAACCTACCTGGATTATCACTACCCTCCCACTAAGTATTGCTCAAAGATTTTCATAAACACAGTAGTCATGTAATCTTTGGTTCTTAAAGAATCTGAACCATCCAAATGTGGTGTTCTTTCTTCCTTAAAGGAATGTGGAAATGCCATCCTAATGTGGGATCTTGCAATATTAAAGAGAAAGTAGTCTGTAATTATTTTTTTTAATTTTTAATTTATTATTTTATATAAGCAGATCTTAGGGAAACAGGTGTTTGGTTACATGCATGTTCTTTAGTGGTAATGTCTGGGATTTTGATAAACCTGTCACCCAAGCAGTGTGTATTGTTTATTTTTAAAAGTAAACTAAAACATTTCAAAAAAAAATAACCTAATATTTGCATACAGTTAAAATGTGAGTCATTTTAAGGGTTAGCTTATGCACAAACACTTTCAGAAATAATAAAAGTAATTTAATGAACACATACCAAGAAATCGGACAGTTCGGCGCACCAGTGGGTTTATATAACAACAGTCTCCAGTTAGAATAGTTTTTTCCTGGTTTTCAAAATCCCTTGTGGCTAGTTGTAGGCAAAAGACAGCAGTCTCTCCAACTATTATCTTGAAAGAAAATCAAAGATTAAGGAGTATTAGAATTTAACCAGTACAAATATAAAACATTTTTATTTTTAAATTTTAAAATGGAGCTCTTTTGAATGCTGATAATCTCAATGTAAAACAGAGCCATAATTGATTATCTAGGTCCTTTGATTACACACTTGTCCCTATGTATGTAAACCATATTTTTCTCAATTCCAGAAAGTACCATACTGAAAAATTATGAATAAAAATAGACAGTTTTGTTTTCTGAAAGTCTTAAAAAATAAAATATACAAAAATATTAAAGGAAATACTCATTTATTTTTGGTGTGTAATTAAATTCCATGCTTTATTACTTTAAGTGACTGTGTTTTGTTTAAATTTGACTCTGCTAGAGAAGTCACAACAGATTCTCCACGCAAATATTTTTAAAGCATTTGATACACACATACTAATTTAAAATCATATTAATACTTTAATTAATAAGAAAAATAAATCTGCACATTTGACCTTGAGAACCTCCTGTTCTGAGACATTACTAGGAATTGTCATAATTAATATATTACTTATACTTTAGTATAAATGTTATTTTGATCTTCATTAAAACCATATGAAACTAGGAATAGCATCCTACCCTTTTTACAAGTAAAGAACACCAAGACTTGGAACACAAGTGAATTGACCAAGTGCTGGCAAGAGGGACAAGGTTGTGTTACAGATGCTTTGCTCTACTCTGCTGACTTATTAAAGGACCTGGCCTTGCATTGGTATTTGTGCCATTGGTAGTGATTTTTATACACAGTCCTCAAAATCACCCAGCAAAGTATTACAGCCAGTATTATTATTCCATTTTATAGATGAAGAAATGGAGATTTACGGAGGTTAAATAATGTGTTTCTTTTAGGGCAAGTCAGAAACCAAGCAGAAATTTCTGACTCCATTTAATGCTATGAACAATAGCATGAGAAATAAGATTAAGAGAAAAAGAAACTGGAGCCAATAGTGTGTCTACTAAGTTGTCATTGTGAGGTTTGCTTTTATTACCTCTTGTTAAGCTTAATTAACACGCTACACAGGGAGTCCCTGACATTCCCTGGAGAAATGCTTTTGGGGTCTCTATGAAAAGTAATATCTATGATTATAAGTTATTCAAAATAGAAAGTGTGAGGTTGAGAAGGAGGTTACAGGAGATTAGGTATTTGACCTACTTTTACCCTAGTGTGAACAACAGAATTATGAGACATCTCTTCATTTCCATCCTTCTTTCTCCCTCCTTTTCCTTTCTTCTTACTATACTTCTCTTTCCAAGTAGGCCGGGGTTCAATGTTAAATCAGAAGACGTTGTAAATCAAAAGAGACTAGTCCTGCCTATTTTGTTAGACTGGATTGAACTGAGAGAGATAAGAACTTCCAAATTTCTCTTGAATTTTACTCTGGCGTTGGTGAAGTAGAGCAGATGTGTGATGAAACAGCTCATCCAGCCAAAGGATACACAAGAATTATTTTTCATGAGTATTTGGAGAATCTTACAAGAAGATGAACTGTTTTTTGATACCTTATCTCTCTTTCTGAATAACTTTTTCTCATGTCCCACCTCCTCTTCACTGTACCTTGAAAGAAATTACTATGATGATGCTTTCTGGGTTTTCAGATTCGGCTTCTTCTGGGTCTGCCTTACCACAGAATGTTCCAAATTCTAACAATGCATCATCCACTCCACTTCATGAGCTGACTGGCTCTGCACGTAATGGCTGCCCTCTCAGCCTCCTCTTCTCCAGTACAGCTTCTACTGGTCACCATCCCCAGGCAGGCCCCACCCCATGGTACACTGAACACAAACTTAGGCTAGACATGTTAAACTTCCTAGAAGGTAGTAGATATCCAATAATTCTTATTGAATGCATAAAGGAATCCCATTTTCAAAAAACTCTCAGCTTCAATAGATCGGAATACCCTTGTCTGCTATTGACCTTTTGCCTGACTTCTAGTAAACAACTTCTGGCTTGTTCCTATGATGAAGGATCTATCCTATAACTAGATAACTCTTTTCAGTTACCAGGGTCTTTAACCAAAAACTGATTTGTTGGGGCCACTTTTCCCAGTGGCTTTCTAATGCTGACCTCTTGCTTACCTGCATCTCAGCACATTTCATGTTGCTGAATTTCCAATTTCTGTCCTGAGCATTTCTGCCAAAACAGTTTCTCAGCAATATCAGTTGGCTGCTACTACAAGAAACCCACTTGAATTATGTTAACCAAAATAGTAAGTTTATTCTACAATTAGTTTCCTCAGAATTGAAGGGCAGGGAGCTTGGGGATTAGGCCTATGAATGGGAAGTCTTCAGGAGTCCAAGCAACAGCTGTCACCACGTCATTCTCCCTCTTTCCCTGAAGTCTCACTGTCTCTTATGTCAGTTTCTCTGTGCATGCCTTTCTGCCAGCCAGTGCTCCTGATTCTGAGCATACATGATTTCCCCAACTGTCTTCAAGAAGCTTATCTTTGAATTTGTCAGCTCAGCCCAAGGAAACAGTTAAACTGATACAATTTTCCAAACCTCAATTCCAAGTTTCAGGGAGGTTTAGGTTGAGATAAGGCATCTCTCCCGGAGTCCAATGAACCAAGGTTAAGAAGGTATGTCACGGTCTATGAAAATGTCACTGTGGGTAGAGAAGGTAGTTATCAAAAACAGACAGCTGCTGTGATCAGATACTGATGTCAAAGTCCATCACATCTTGCTGGACTCCCTCTGGCCAGTAATTGGTCCTGACTAGCTCTTTCCAGCATGTTCTCTGGATACTGTATTCTGTCCACGTACTTTGGACTTCATGTCATCAAATGCATATGCCTAGGTGTCTGCTTTCCTCCAAGAGTATGTCTAATTCACACACTCTAGTCTCCTTTCCTGAGAGCTCACTGTGATATCTATGGAACCCCTCATCCAAACCATGTTCTCTCTTAACTTCCCCACCAACTTCCTGAGTGAACACTCCAATTGTTTACTGCTCTCAGATAATTTTTTTTTTTTTTTTGAAGATGAAGTCTGTCACCCAGGCTGGAGTGCAGTGGCACTATCTCGGCTCACTGCAACCTCCTCCTCCCAGATTCAAGTGATTTTCCTGCCTAAGCCTCCCAAGTAGATGGGACTATAGGCACATGTCACCACACTAGGCTATTTTGTTTATTTTTAGTAGAGACGGGGTTTCACCATGCTGACCAGGCTGGTCTCGGACTCCTGACCTCAGGTGATCCACCCGCCTTGCCTTCCAGACATGCCGGGATTACAGGTGTGAGCCACCACACCCAGCCTGCTCTCAGATAAATTCAAATACTGAAATTAAAATAATTGTAATTATAATGAGTGTATTTATTTAAATGCTTTCTAAGTCAAGGGCATGGTACTAGACACCAATGTTTGAAGAAAGGTTTATAATCTAACTGGGTAGACACAAGCGAAATGATTAATAATGGTACAAGGTTGCAGAGGCTGAGCTTTATTTGACTGGTTTGGACAACATATGCTAGGAGAACCCTTGGAAAGAAGTGTCACTGAGTCACTGAGGGAATCTGTGATGGCAATGAAACATGTCACTCAAATCTCCCACTGCAGGGATGTTTACAGACAGATGGTCCCGGCTGCTGCTCCTCTGGATCCACTACTGAACCCATGCTGAGGCCACACTTCCTACAGGCTGCTCCTAGCCAATGACGAAGCATAGTAGGGGTTCTAAGGTGAGCCTAATCTTCTGAAACGTGGGACACCTCCAATTGGCAATTTTGGTTTAAAGATTCCCCATGAGCCTGACCAAATCTTTCTTAGAGCCATGCTTCCTATGCAATCCCACTACCCCTACTAGACTACCTCACCGAGGCTGAAGTTTTTCCCATCCAGCCCACCTTCTTTCTTCCTCTCACACACTGGGCAGACCTCCATCACAGTCTGAAGGCTGTCTTTGCTGTTTCTGATTTACCCCTCAACCTTTGTGTTTCACAGGTGTTTTTTCTAACAACTCTTGGACTTCTAATCTCACTTGATAACTGCTTCTAGGAGAATATAAACATATACAGCATCAAAGATAGACAGGGTATGATCCTTACTACAACTAACGCTTGATATTAGATAAGTGCAGAGGATTCAGAAACAACCCTAACCAGAAAGCAAGTATTTGGAGGAGAGGAGGTAACCTTTCTCCTATTAGCACTCAGCTTGACCTCAACAGGAGCTAAAGTAGATTGAGTTTGCCTTGAAGGCAGAGACACAATACCAAGGTAGCACTTGGTAAATGTTAACAGTTGAAAAAAATTACTGGCAACAAAAGCATTAATAACAATAGCAATATTGCTACTAAGGCCAACAGCATTAGTATACAGTCTAAAATAGATGTAATTGTATGCAGTTTATATTTCTATTAATAATTTTATCTGATCTTTCTTTCTAAGCTTGGCACAGTACTAGGCAAAGAGTAGGGAATTTTCATTTTCTGTTGTCCTGTATCTCTTTCTTTATGACTAATTCAATACCACATCAGTCATATTGACTCTAATGCATACATTTCTCTTTGTCCTCTTGAATTTGAATCAGTGGCTCTGGTCAGTGAGTTACTGGTATTTTATTTTGGTTCTTTTTTTCTGACTGAAGCCCTCCCTGGTGGACTTCATTTCTCCTAAGATTTTACCAACCCCTGCTCCATTAAGGAATCCTAAATCTGTGTATCTCCCCTAAACTCCAGATGCAGGTTTCCATCCACCTATTAAACAGCAACACCTCAACATGCTCATATCTACCTATTGGAAGGCCACAAAGCCTTTACATCCAAAATAAAATCCAAGTGTTTCACGTTGAACCTCCTGCTCTTCCGTGTCACCATCCCAATTAATCCATTCAGTTTCTACTTGGACTCAAGCTAAAACTCTTACAAAATTTCATGCTGACACCTCAATTTCCCTCATTTGTCTCTCTCCATCGACTGATTTTGTTCATATTATTTTTGATTGACAAAAAATTGTATACATCTATGCTGTGC